GGAGAAAGATTGAAGAAGGGAATGGAAGGAAGGAGGGATAGAAGGAAGGAAGGAAAGAAGGAGAGGAGGGAGGAATAGAGGGAGGGGAGGGAGGGAGAAAGTTTAAGGAAGGGAAGGATGGGAAGAGGGAGGGAAGGAGGAATAGGAAGGGAGGAAGGAAGGAAGGAAAAGGGGGAGGGAGAGAGGGAGAAAGATTGAGGAAGGGGAGGGAAGGGAAGGAGGGATAGAAGGAAGGGAGGAAAGAAGGAGAGAAGAGGGAGGAATAGAGGGAGGGGAGGGAGGGAGGGAGAAAGATTAAGGATGGGAATGGAAGGAAGGAAGGAAAAGGGGAGGGAGGGAAGGGAGGGAGAAACATTGAGGAAAAGAATGGAGGGGAAGGGAAGGAGGGATAGAAGGAAGGAGGGAAGGGAGGAAGAGAGGGAGGGAAGGGAAGAAGTTGGCCTTGACCCTTAGTGACCGCATCCACACCGCTTCCAAAGGTGGAAGAGGGAAGGGCTGGGGTGTCTTTCTCCATCACGCCCAGGCGGAGGGTCTCCTGGTGGGGAGACGCCGGCCCCTCACCCCCACCTCCCGTGTCTCCCTCCCTCCCTGCAGGCCTCCCTCCCTCCGGCGGCCGAGGGTCTCCTGGGCCGGGACTTCGAGCGCCTGGGGCGCCTGCGCTACAAGGGCGGCCTGAGCCTGGAGCGGGCGCAGGAGGGCTGGTTCGCCCTGGTGGGCTCCAGCCTCTACGCCTTCCTGGAGGGCAGCGGCCGGGAGGAGCTCATCCAGCTGCGGAAGCTGCAAGAACTCTGTGAGTCCAAGGTCGAACATCTGCCCCCCCCCACTGTCTCTGGCCCCTCGCCTCACTTAACGACCGTTGGCAACTCACTTAATGACCACGGGACGTGGTCACTGGTGGCTCAGGTCCTGGATGGACGGGACCTGCGGTGGCCTGGGGGGAGGGGGGTGCTGGCCCAGCTCATTGGGGGCTTCTAGCCTGCTCAGCCGTTGTTTCACTCCAGAGGCCCCCAAACTTTGGCAACTTTATGGACTTCAACTCCCAGAATTCCCCAGCCAGCATAGATAGATAGATAGATAGATAGATAGATAGATAGATAGATAGATAGATAGATAGATAGATAGATAGATAGATAGATAGATCTATCTATTTATCTATCTATCTATCTATCTATCTCTCCTATATCCATCCATCCATCCATCCATCTTCATCCATCCATCCATCCATCTTTATCTATCTATCTATCTATCTATCTATCTATCTCCTATATCCATCCATCCATCCATCTTCATCCATCCATCCATCCATCCATCCATCCATCCATCCATCCATCCATCCATCCATCCATCCATCCATC